AGATAGATAGATAGATAGATAGATAGATAGATAGATAGATAGATAGATAGATAGATAGATAGATAGATAGATAGATCTGCCACAAAACTGGCTTGGACTATAAGGGCGTTCCCTGGTGGCACAATGGGTTACAGTGCAGCACTATGAAGCTAGCTAACCACAGCCACTTCAATACAAGTTCAATCCCCAGGCAGGGAAGTAACCCACATGGCACAGCAGACTTTTCCTTCTTACCCGCTGCCCCATTCTGTCTCTGGTGAATCCTCTCACCATCCCGCACCTCTAGCCTGTACCCTAGTTCTGTGCATAAATGAATAAATCTTAAAAAAAAAAAAAAGAGAGAGAGAGCTGTGAACCAATATCAAGTAGCAAAATGCATATAGGTGGCAAAATGAGGTGTAGAACAGAGCTCGGGCCTTTTCAATTCCTCTGAGATCAGCAAGCTCCATGACCCTGAGGACGTAAGCACCCGAATGCACATTCAGCAGGTCAAAGCAAGCTTACACCATGGGGACAACTAATAACCTGCATTTGCCTAAGCCTGAACCCACCTCTGCAAATGGGACCAATGTGCCTCCAAGGAAGGAATACCCTTCCAGAGGGCAGCAATTCTGCTCTTGTGACCACCAATGACTCCAATGCATGGTTGAGGCTTTAAGAGACATTCCAGAATTCCCTCAGTACTGAGGAAAATAGACACACCCCTTCTCATGGGGGAGGCTGGGGTTAAGTGCATAGTTTCTCTACACGGAGCCCCCCACTCCAGTCAGGGTCTTAAGGAGCTGGTACACAGCAGGTACTGACAACAAATTAAGGGTAAGGCTCAGGACAGTGAGACATCTCAGCCAACAATACATCAGCTAGCAGGGGAAGCCCTGGCTCAGGTAGCAGGGCCACCTTTGGGCTTTCTTGCACCCCTGCCCTCCCCAAGTCATAATAAACTACCCCAGTCACAGCCAGACCCGAACAAAGGACTCTTACCAACAGGACACATTCTGACTGAGAGTGAGAAGAGAGAAGGTGCCATACAGATCTGTGGTCATTGTGCTGGGCAGAGTGTTATCACAGTCATGAATTCCTGCCACATATGGTCAAAGCCAGAGAGTCACAGAGTCTCAAAGCTAAGAAAGGGGTAACCAACTCAAATCCAACCATAAGCACACAAATAGTCTCAAATGGCCCACGAGGAGAAAGAAAAAAAAAGTCCATCAGGAGGTTTTAGTCCAACCTAAATCCACAGAAATCTGACCAAGTTTCAACACCCATCCTGTGCAAAACTTTATGGATTCTCTCCCCACTCTCCAAAAGGACTATCTCTTTCTCTCTCTGGGGATGGCTCCTTGGTTCCACCCAGGAAGATGTCCTGACAGGTCCCACTCTAGGAGCAACTACTGGGTACTTAGCAGAGGTGATCATGACCAGCTCAGTCAAAGTGCCACAAACCTAAGGGAGGAAAGGGAAGTCAGGCCACAAATGTGCTGAGATTCCCAGACACTGAGGAAACAGACCCCCAGCAGGGACCCCCTGCAGAAGACAAAGAGCCCGTAGAAAAGAGCAGCTAGAACCAATAGCAATGATTATATGGAAGGGTGGACAGCCTTACTCAAAGGATCCCAGGCCTTCTTAGGCTCACTGTCCAGAAGTACGCCTTCTTTGGGGTTCTTGCCAAGCACTGGAGAAGAGTAGACTCAAAGTCTATTCACAGTCTTTCTTCTTCGGTTCTCTAATCATTCAGGGGTTCTTGGTCCCTCTTCTGTACAGTCAAGAGTCCCTAGAGCTCCTCTGGACTTAGCCCTCAAGTAAAAAACTGCAATAGTATTCCAGTGTTTTCCCCCTCTCCCTGGCCACACTACTGTGACCTGATTTCCCCAGCACCAAGAACAGGTGGAAGTCATTTTGCCAACTCCAGCCTCCACCCACAGCCTGACATATAGAAAGTGATCAAAGAATGCTTGCTGAATAAAAGGGGTCACTGGCGAGAAAGGAGGAAAAATAATTTCAACCAAGATACTAATTAACGCCTTAGTAAGAGAATCCTACAATTTTTGAATATAAGATACCTTACAGGTCCATTAAGAATTGTCTCAATTTTTAGTTATTCACTTGATTACAACCCACCACTGTAAAAACAGAAGAATAAAGTGTAATGTGGTTCAAAGAGCAAAGTGGGGGGAGGTTCATGTACTAAGAGACCTAGTTTTCAGGTGGTGGAGAACCCAGGCATCTTCAAACCCTGCCCCCTTTCCTGTGCAGCCACAGCTCAACTCCTCTATAACAGGTTCTATTTCCCAAGGCAACCTACACGAATAGGAGAACCTCAGGTTCTCCTCTTGTCTTTGAGACCCAGATGTGCTGCCAAGTTATAGAAAGGTCAAGAACTTCTGGGAAGCAGAATGCCTAGCAATGGCTAACAATACCAGACATAAATTAAAGACATCCAAGTGGACTGTGATGAGAAGGGAAAACCTATAAATTCCTCTTACTTTTGAGAAGGTACTGTATATAAATATATATATATAAAGATTTATTTATTTATGCATACAGAATTGGGGTACAAGCCAGAGATGTGGAGGGTGAGAGGATTCACCGAGACAGAGCGGGGAACAGACGAAGTACACTGCTGAGGGGAGCAGCGGGCGGGTCAGGAGAGGTCTGCCAGGCCATGTGGTCACCTCCGGGGCAGGCGGGAATCGAACTCATGCGGAAGTGGCTTTAGCTTCTCAGTGCTGTGCTTTAACCCGCTGTGCCACCAGGGACGGCCCGTTACTGTGTATTTTTGACCTTGAAGAAAACTCTTGTGGTCAAACCACCCAGTGCCTTGGAAGGTGCAAACAAATCCATAGTCATAAATCTAACTCACCTGAAACTTGTATCCTAGAAAGAACTAGTTAGACAAGAAGACCCTGAAGAGCTACTGCTTCCAGCATTAAGAGACTCCATCACAGAGATGCTATGTGTGCCCTGGGGATAGTCCTCCTTTCCTGCCCACCTCCACCAACAAACCCTGAGTCTACTGAAGAAACATGACTTCCATGAGCCTGGTGACTGGGACTAGGGTTGTGTCCAGAGGCAAGATCTCTGGGTCTGGGAGATCTAGAAAGGTCTTTGTCTGTCCTTCAGCTGGGAAAATGACAGAGCAACTGAACTGCAGGAAAACTTCCAAGACAAGAGGCCAATAATCAGAAAAACATCACCTGGGCAAACAGTCAACATAAAAAGACTCAAGGGGTGGAAGCCTTCTGTATCATGGGCCTAATTCAACTCTCTTAAGAGGCCTGATACCCTGCTTGCTGCTGGGGTCTGGTCTGCTGAGATTGAGCTGTTTCAAAAACTATGGCTAAGAAGATGCATTAGGTGAGAGGAATTGTGGCCTGGCAAGTTCTCTCTTTGAAGCCCAAGTCCCATGGTCTCTGGATTGGTTCCTTAATTTATTATCATCACTTACTCAGTAAGAGCCTTTACTGATCCTATCAGAAAGGTCCTCTCCTACCACAGACACCCCTTCTCCCAGAACTCAATGCAGCCCACAGAGCCATCATTAAGGGCTCCAAGGCCCAACCAGCTCCATATTCTTAGTTCAGCTGCTGGGAAGTGAACAGCAAGGAAAGCCTGAGTCTGGGCCTACAGAATCCGAATCTGTGCCCCACAACCCAAATGTGTGTTACCCGACTCACTTCCAGCCCTATCTCTTGTTTGACACTTTATTTCCCCTTCGTTAAATCTCACCTAACACCACATTCTTAAACAGTCATCCTGTCCATCAGGGTAGTTCCTTGACTCTGGGAGGAGCGGACGGGAGAATTAGGCTATGTCTCAATAGGCTGGTAATGTGTTGGAGGTTCACACATCCAACCTCAACTCCTTGGGCCGGTCCCTTCCTTCTCCCGCGAAAACGGTCCGGGCTGCCAACCCAACCAAAGGTGGGGCAGGTCTTGCTAGAGAAGGGCGGGTTCTGGGCCACTATTCCTACTATTCCTCAGCGCCTCTGGCCCAAATCCTTCAAGTCTGGCGAGAGGTAAAATCCCACGTGGAAATCCCTCCGGATTCCCTGTCCCAGTACTCCACGAAGAGAGAATCTATGCATGGGTTCCACAGAGTGGGGGTTAGATTTCAAACACTCCCAGCGGGCAGAGAAGCAAGGGAGCATTCACCTACAGCTTAGGCGGGCTATGCTCCAGAATCAGGCGAGGATCCGAAGCCTGGGCTGCGGAAGGCGGCCGGCCTTACCCAATGCAGACTCCGGAGAGGTCCGGGTGGCGCTTGCCCATCCCCGGATCCTTCGCAGGCGGGCGGCAGAACGAACGTAAGCTGGGGTGGGCTCGCTAGTCTGCCCGCAGAGCTTGTGGAACTCGGGCAGACCGGGTTAGGCCAGACGGGGCGGAGCCCGGAGAGCACCATCCGGGTGGTCCCGATCAGAGAAAAAAGCCCGGCCGCGGCTTAGACCGGTGCACCCGCCTTGGGCACGGCAGAGCCCCGACAGCGCCCAGCAGTCTCTCTCAGCGTTTCCCCCGGCCGCCGCCTCAGAGGACCGGCGGGAGGCGGAGCCGCGCGCGACACATGGCCCCGGCCCCGCGCGGCTTCTGGCCGCGGAGGGGGGGGAGGGGAGGGGCTGCCCAGGGGCCCATAGCGGAGGCTCCAGGCGGCCCGGAGCGCGGCTCCTGCGGTCCAGTCCCCTCCCCGGCGCACTAGCCCCGACACTCACCCGAGGGGCTGGCACGATGGCGGCAGCAGCGGCGGCAACCCAGCGCGGTCTGCGCCCGACTGTCCCTTCCCCCCTGCCTTCCCTCGCCACCCCGTTGCACTCTGGGAAATGTAGTCTCGCCTCACTCCTCTTTGGCCTAGGAAGCTAGGAGAAAACTACAGCTCCCAGCGTGCTACGCGCCAAGGCCCAGACACAGCCCGCTGCGCGGGAGGTGAGGCGAACTAAGCCGGGGAGGCTGCCGGGGACGAGCCCCTGAGAATTGTGGTCTAGCGGAAGCCTCTGGAACACCCGAGGTTGGCGCCAGGCGAGGGTCAGGTCTCAGTTGCCGCTAGTTCTGCACTCGTCCTGCCCCGCCCAGGACGCGCGGCCGACCCGAACTGACCGCTCCTTCTTGGGAGACGGATCTTGCCCCAAAGGCCCAGCGGCCCCTTTTTGGGCCCCTGGGGCTCTTTCAGCTCACGAAACCCCCTCCCATTGTGATTTCTGGCTGCCCTTTTGACTATTCCGAACCTTGTGCTGAGGCCGCAGAGCGGTACCCATGGATTCTGCCGTTCTAACATTCGTGCGCCCCTGCCGGGTACCTGTCGGGCCCAAAGCAAGTTCGGAGCAGGTGAGGCTTTTCCCTGGGCCAGAGACACAATGCTCAAGTAGTGTGCAAATAGAAATGACATTACTGCCATACCTGGATTGTAGGGGTCCCCAAAGCATTGTTACAATTTGGGTTTTTGTTATTCTGTTTTTTTGTTTTTGTTTTTGCAGCAGGCAGGGAAGTTAAGAGTTTCTTTTTTATTAACAAGAAATTACTGAAACTTTTTGTGATTTAAGTGACCAGATTGTCAATAATCTGCCTTCCATCATCCACTGCCCTTTCCCTTCAGTGCCCATTTTCTTGGCAACGCAAACATTTGCAGCCAACCCTATCTCTAGGTCAAATACACTTACTCTGGGGAACCTCCATATAAATAAAACAGCTAAAAGGCTTCTTGTGGTAACTTCTTGTCTTCCCTCCTGGCCAGAGATCTCTCAGTACTTGTGCGCTTCCATAGGATTTTTTGCTTTTTCACCAACCACCAACCCTAAAGACCCACTGGATCTGGATTATAAGACCAGGCCAAGCATTTTTTAAATGCCAGGTCTGTCTTACTTTGCCTGACTAGATGCTTCTCATTATGCAGGCATCAAGGACCTCCCTTACCTTTGCTGTCTTCCTCCCTCCAAAAAGCTAAAACACAGGTAGACTGTGCAAATATAACCTCCAGATATTAAGTGAACCCTGGCCAAGGCCTGCTCCTCACTGCCCTGAGTGTTGCTGAGAGGTTCAAGTGAGCCAAAACAAAAACAGTTTTAAGCTCCTTCAACAAATATTAGTCCAAGGATAAACTATAGAATAAGGCCTGGTTAGGAAACCCCTCAGTCTTAGAAAAAGATAGTAGAAAAGACAGACACAACAGCTGCCAGCAAAGGGCTTCCTTCAGTTCCAGCTGATCTGGAAGGGCATTGCTTAGCTTTCACACACTGGCCAGACCTAACCCTAGAGAGGCACTGATCCAGTCCCATCCCCAATAAGGTAACTGCACAACTTATCCCCCACTTTACCCTTCCAGAATGTTTCTCAGTGTCAAAAGATCAGGAGGGAAGCAGAGACTAGGGGAAAGTTTCAGAGCCATTCCAGCATGCTGCCACAGGGCAAGTCCCCAATATTATTCCTTAAATAATAGAGGAGGCAGATATGACCTGTAAGTCTAAGAAGTATCCTTTTGCATTGTGACCCTAGTCACAGAGCCAGCTTTAAAGGTATTTGCCTCTCTCCATTAGCTTTGAGTTAGATTTCTGGGAGCTATAAATAAAAATAATGTCACCTCATCCCTAAAATATTCAAAATAAAAGACAATGCAGTCAAGAAATGAGTTAAGGGCCCTCTCTGGTGGTGCAAGGAGTTAAAGCACAGTACTATAAAGCTATCTGCAGCTACTGCAGCACCGGTTCAATCCCTGGCCAGAGAGAGGACCCACATGGCAGAGCAGACCTGATTCCTTCAGCAGTGTTTCAATCTGTCCGTTGTGCTCCCCACTCTTTCTCTGGTGGATACTCTCACCCCTTGCACTCCAGTTCTTAATATGCATAAATAAATAAATCTTAAAAAAAAAGAAATGAGGTAAAGAGTTCACAGATTCCAACATCTATTCCTTAAAGCTCTCTATGGACTCAGCTGCTTGTCACTAAAAGTGCCAAAAGTATCTGTGAGAAGAGTCTTTGTAACTGCAGGAGCCATGGCTCACTCTAGCTGTGGTCTTTACTGATTTACGTAAGTACTTGCTCATGTGTGCCCAACACCAAACTGGAACTAAGGGCTATATAATTAGCAAATTTCAACCCCAGCTGAAAATTCATGAAGGAATTAAAAACTCTGAGAGAAAAGGGCTGTCACAATTTAGTCTAGTTCTCAGATGCTTCTTTCCCCATTGAAAGGACACAGGAGATAGCCTATGGATAAAACAGACCATCAGCGCAGTTTCCAAACTCTGAGTTGATCTCGCCTGTGAGGACTTTAAGAGGCCAGAGCTGACATGTTTATGGTCCTTTTCTAGACAAATCTGGGCACTGAAGCAGGGTCTACCTGATCCTTGAGACCTGAAGCCAAATCCTATTTCTCCATACGCAGGAACACTTAGCCAAATCTTTATAAAAATAAAATGGCGAAACCCAAATAAAAACCTTACTTTCTGTTTAATTCGTTTTGTCAAACAAACACAGTGAAAACTTTAGTCTGACTAGTTGTACAGAAAATAGAATTTGTAACCAGTAGCAAACATAACAGGATAAACCTAAGTCTCTGGCAAGCTGGATCTTCATCAGCATGTCACCTATATCCCTTATTAGATGGCCTCCTTGGAAGGGAGGTCCTAGGTGGCAAATTCACAGACCTGTCAGTCCCCTCAGAATCACAGGCTGCACCTAGGAAAAAAGGAAAAAAGCAGGAAAAGAACTGATGTTACTTGGATCTCTTATCACTACACACACAAGAGTTTGTTTCTGATTGCTGGTCAATTGCAAGGTGTTATCCTCCCAAGCCCATAGTCTTTGGGCATCCCACAGAGGGGAAATTTCAAGTTCAGAGGATCTGAAGCCTCTGCTTTACCAGAATCTGCAACATAAACTGGAGATGAAGGTGGGAAGGGGGTAGACAAAGTCATAATTGCTGGTGTCCCCAGTGCAGAGTCCGAGGTCCTAGACCTTTGCTTCAAGAAGAAACAAGAGGGTGCAGGTCACCAGCAAAAGAATCCAGCTGCCCTAAGCTTCAGTACTGTCAACCAGTGCCCCAGCAGTACAGGGGAGCCACAGAGGCCAGAGTTCCCCCTAGGCGGACAGGGCAGATGGAGTCCCGCAAGCCGCAGGGAGGACCCATTCACATTCCGTGCTTCTTGCGAATAACAGCCATGGCCAGAAGCCGATCCTTCTCGCGGAGTTCTTCGCGTAGCTTGGCCTCAGTGAGACGAAGGTGGCGGATGCTGCCCTTCATCTCCTTCATCTTCACCTCCATCAGCGCCAGGATGTCCCGCTGCTCGTTCAGCTTCCGCAGGAGCTCCTCCTCCGTGGTGCCTGACGACAAGGAGTATGAGTGGTCGGAGCCAGTATCAGGGAAGCCCTCTTCCCCCACTACCACCAGCTGGGGGCCCATAGGGCACTCGGCAGCCTCCAGCCCAGCGGTAGCAGCTTCCAATTCCGATGCGGCGGCAGCGGCTGCGCCCTCTGCAGCCGCGAACTCCACTTGCACCGTCAGATCGATGGGCTTCACGTCTTCTCCAGTGGGAGTGGTGGGTGCTGGAGGCACGGATCCCGGTGCCTGGCTGCTGTCTACTGCGGCCTGAAGGGTGAGGAGCACAGCTGCAGAGGCTGACACCAGGTTCGGCTGCAGCTGAGCAGTCTGGGCAGTGGAAGCTGCGGGCGAAGACTGTTGTTGCTGCTGTTGTTGTTGCTGCTGTTGCCTGCGGCGGGCGGCTGCGGCCCCCGCGGGTCTCCGTGCCACTTTGCGCTCGTTGACGCCGCGCAGTGGGAAGATGGTGGGGACACGCACCGTGTAGGTCTTGCGGCCGCCTTGGAAGTGGACGCTGCAGAGACGGTGACCCGTGGTGGGCTGGAAAGTGGAGAAGCACCCACTGACGCCAGCACGGGACACGTTCTTGAGCCAGAGGCGCCGCAGCTCAGCGTCCTTGGGAAACGTGTAGAAGTGCAGTGCCTTGTCCCGATGCGAGTTGTTGTAGCAGCCCGGCACGCAGCATGTAAAGCCAGGCATGGCTGCGCCGCGCGGCCCGGCCCGGCCCACCGGCCTCCTGAGCCCTTCGACGGCCCGGTCGGTCAGCCGCCGCCCGCCCCTCGACGGGCGGCGCCGCGCGAGGCCTTAGGCGGCCTCCCACTACTGCTGCCCAGCACTGCCGGCCTGATCCGGCGCCCCGTGCCCAGAATACGCTTCCCACCAGCCCGCGCCGCACCACTGCCCGGCCGCCCGCTTGCGCTCGGGAGTCGGCCCGGGGGACGCCGCCAAGGACCGCCTGGGAAGGAGGACTACGCCCCCCACAATGCACCGCGTCAGAAGCCGCTCACTTCCGGAGCAGGGGCGTGCTTATTCCGGCTGTTTTAAAGGGCACCATGACGGTCTACGCAAAATTGATTCTTACGCCCATCCGGCTCATTCGTTGTAGATAAGAGAGGCGTATTCGGCTGGAACGCTGTCGCCTGGACCGGCCTTCACAAGGACCCAGAATCCTGGTGAGTGGCGGGCGCGCCTCTCCAGTGCGCAGGCGCGTAGGTGCTCAAGGAAACTGCAAGTCCCGTCATGCCTTGCTGTGAGCTCGGTGACTTTGGCTTTTAGCGCCGCTAATGGGAATGGTCGGGTTACTGCGGTCCAAAATTCGGGCGAGGTTTTGCTGCTTGCCGGAAGCGGTACCCCAACCCTGAGTGGCTTCAAGTAGACTGCATCCTGCGATAGTAGGGATGGCGGACCTGAACCTCAGTATCCCGAAGGACCTTTAGGAGCCCTTTGCTCTCTGTTGGTGACAATCTCCTGACTCAGCCGCTACCTGCGTTGACTCATTTATTAACATAAATTTAATCACCATTAGGCACCTACTGTGTGCCAGGAGGAGTGCAGGGAGTTTGGAATCTTGCTAAAGCCAGACCTATCCAAACTTCTCACCTGGAGTCTGACCATACAGGGACAAGAGTTAGTCTTTGGAATAATAGATGTGGATGCACGCGAGAAAATGAGAAAATGACACTCCAGTGAGAAAATGGAAGGGAGAGGCCCCAGAAGGAAAAAAAAAAGTCAAAAAAGTCTTGGGTAGGGAGAAGTAGCCTTTCTTGTGTTTGGAACCAGTCTTCTAAGACAGACAGAGCTAGGAAGATCCTGGAAGAGGGTGGCATGGGTAGTAGAAGCTCTTAGGGTTACGAAGCTTACCTCAGTTAAAATAGTTGCGAATTTACTCCGCAGACATTTGGAAGCTATTTGAAGAACCTTAAATAAAAGGATATACAGGATTTTTTTTTTTTGGATTTGTAATTTTTTTTAATGTTTCGTTTTACTTATTTAAGCATACAAGAGCTGGGACGCTGGCAAAAGGAGAGGAGGGGCCGGTGAGAGAATTCACTAAAGACAAAGTGGGGGAAGAGCAGAGGATTGGGGCCTTCCTCCAGTGGTGCAGTAGGGTAAAGCACAACACTATGAAGCTAGACACAGCTGCTTCAGCATGAATTCCATCCCTGGCCAGGGTGGTGAGCCACATAACATGGCAGACCTCTCTGACCGGCCCACTGCTCCCCTCAGCAGTATACTTCATCAGTCTGCTTGTTCTGCTCCCCAGTCTGTTTCTGGTGAATCTTCGCACGGTCCCTGTACCTCTGGTCTGTACTCGGTTCTGTATGCATAAATAAAGAAATCGTTAAAAACAACAACAACAACAACAAAAACCTGACGAATTAAATACACTGCTGAGGGAGCAGCAAGACAGGAGGGGTCTGCGACAAGTGGATTAGCTCCCTGGTGGGGAATGGAACTTGTGCAGCAGTGGCTGGCAATTACTTAAAAATACTGAGGCTTGGCTCTCCCAGGTGGCGCAGCGGGTTAAAGCACAGCCTGAGAATCTAAAGCCGCTTCTGCAGGAGTT